ACTTAATAAAACTTATGACTTTTAACTTTTTTAACTAAAACTTTTTTTCTATTATAAATAAATATATTTTTCTATGTACTTATAATTAAATATTAACACTTGTAAGAATATTTCTGCTTATTATTTGCTATTGTAAAATTTAAAAAAAATGTATTGTTGTATTATAGAATATAATTTAATCATTAAATTTGAATGTACTATTATTAAAAAAAGTTAGTGGCAAACAACAAATTCTACCTATATGATGTAGCCCAGTCTTCACAAAAGGTTGGACATCTCTGGTCTAAGCTAATTAAAAGTAAATGTGTATACAATATGCATCACCAAATACCAATAATAATTGTATTATATTTATTATTTGATCATTTATAAATAAGAATAACTTATATTTGATTAAAATTAACTCATTATTTATAAATATTTATTAATAAAAATAAGCTAAGTTAATAATTAAATTACTGAAAATTATATTTAAAAAGTTTAAATGCGCTTAATATTAACTTTTTAACTTGGTTATGCCTAGGCTCCAACGACTGAAATGTTATGGTTGGATGAACTGTAACAGACGCCTTATGTCACATTAATTTTAGTGCAAATTTTATATTTAAAATCTTTGAAGCTTATATCATATATAGCCATTACGGTAGGTTCATATAACACACACATACATTTTGTTCTTATTCTATAAAGGTGCTTTGTATTATTATAATAATATGAAATGTATAAATCTACATGTATATGAGTATAATATGTATCAAGTATATGCAATAATTTTAATTGGAAAACAGGTTTATACCAGTTTAAAAACACAAATGTGACATTTATCTTTAAATGTCTTCTTGTCGTTAAGTACTCGTGTAGTCGTGTACGTATGAGACTTATCACTTGGGACCGGAATTATATGCACTAAAAATATGCCAGATATGCAGTTGTCTATGCATTAAAAATTTGAACAAAAAAAAAATAGTAATATATTAAATAGTTTTTCAACTATGCCTTAAACTACAGAGTATTGTTATAGCATATATTAGAGAGACTGAATTGTCAAATTACCTTTATAATAAAATAAGTACAAACTTTAAGTTAATCACATTTAAATGCATTAAAAAATGTTTAGAATTTTAATCAAAAAATGATATTTGTATTATATTTAGTTCAGTCAGTTCAATCAAAGATGCACCATAAACCGTGGTAGTAACCAATGTTATTATTTCTTCTCTTTTCTTTGAGCATAGTTGTTATAAATANTTATAATAATAATCAGGGGCGCACACCCTAGTCATTGTTTATGGACTAATCCACATACTAAAAGGGTGGGTGGGTGGTTGCTTGCTGGAAGATATGATATTTGTATTATATTTAGTTCAGTCAGTTCAATCAAAGATGCATCATAAACCGTGGTAGTAACCAATGTTATTATTTCTTCTCTTTTCTTTGAGCATAGTTGTTATAAATACAATTTTGAAAACAAAACAAAAATAAATTATGATTATCAAAAATATTCCTATGATTATTTAAAATTAATTGTTGTTTAACATATTAATCCTAGGTTTTTATAGTAAAAAAGACCAAGGAAAGAATAAGTTTTTTTTTATTATAAGTGTATAAAATATACAAACTATATGCTTTAATGTGTTACAACAAAATATGCTTTAATCCCTCAAATATCCATCAATATGCAAAAAACAATTTTGTCTATGAAATTATCTTGATTTGAAACACCCACATTTTGAACCCTCATAATTCTGCATACACTTAATATGAATATGAAAATGCATATAATTCCAGTTTCTGCCTATCGTCAAAGTTAGAATTTTAGATATTTCTAAAAAAAGCACTTAATAAATAATCTAAAAAAATTTATTAAAAATTATTTAAACCCATTTTAAAAATATTTTAATATTATGATAGTTACCTATGCATTCAAATTATCAAAACCAAATATGGCAAAATAGTTTATTTACTGCAATCCAGACATTTATAATGTAATTATTTTCAAAATGTTACAAATGATTATTAGTTTTTAGTTATTACTAGAGTCTAGAGGTCCGGATTTATATTCTTTTAAAAACCTATATAGAATTATTACTAACCACATTTAATCTAGAACCGTTTATTATAGAGTGTGTGGAAAGTGTTGCAGATGTGAAGTGTCCAGATAAAATATCTTATATTACATACGGACCTGTGTATCGGGCCTAAATATAAACTTTATTAATGCTCACCACTGCTCGAGATACCATAAGAACGATAAAACACATATCATTACAAACTTGGCAGAAAACATGGGCAAAACATTGAAAAAAAAAACTTAATGAAATTAAAACAACTATTGTTCACTGACCCAACAATCATCCTAATAGAAAAAAGGAAACTACCNATGTTCATTATATGCCGGGTATCACAAAAATATTCCCAAATATTCTCTAACGTGTTAAATATTCTCTAACCTCTAAAATATGTTTTTTTATGCAAAATAAATTTTTTCCTGTGAATTCTGTGTTTCATGATTCCTAAAGATTTCTCCCATTTAACTGCATAAACTAGAAACAAATATGTAAAATCATAAAAATCCGACCTCTAGTTATTACCCAAGCTGAGGCAACAGCTTTTTGAGAGAAATCTTTTTCAACGTAATGAGTAGGTACATCAACATATAACGTACCTACATACTTATTTGGGTTAAAAATAATTAAATAATTTGACACCTATAGGTAAACATTACCTATGTAGATACATCAGGACATCCATATTCATTCAGGGTAGTAGTTGATGAAATGAAAATACTAAGAAAAAAAAACTTTAGACGAGTAATTAATTTATTATGTTTAAATATAAATATAAATATTATATATTTTTATCTTAAGATTAAATTACGATGGTAGAAATAACTTGATTTTTGTTTAGAAATGGTTTTAACAGGTACAACAATATTACCTATTTGTTTATATAGCAAATAGCAAATAGCCAATGTATCATTAATGTATAGGAAATAAGTAATAACTGATATGTAATATATATAAGAAGGTCGTAGGTATCTGGTGTGTTAATTATATATTAAAAAGTTACAACTTGAAATCCCCCAGAAAATATTTCCTGGTAGCACCACTGAATCACACTAGATCAACTCAAATTTAATTTGTAAACCGAAATATGATTAAATTTAAAAAAGACATCAGACTGAAACATCAATTATCATTACCAGGGCTCATAGTTCACTCAAAAAAGCCTAAATGGGCATGCTCGTATTCACCAAAAACTAGCAAAATATGCAAATATAAAGCTTAGGAATACGCATTTACATTTTATATGCACTAGAAATCAAAAACTATGTGGATTAGAAATGAAGAAATCATAAGCAATTTTGAAATAACAAGAAGTATCCAATAAATCATTGTAAAAGTATCAAGAAGTTAAGACAATTTATGACAATAATGATAGTATTATAATAATAATCAGGGGCGCACACCCTAGTCATTGTTTATGGACTAATCCACATACTAAAAGGGTGGGTGGGTGGTTGCTTGCTGGAAGATATCAAGTGTAGAAAAATAAAATATTCTTACAAATTAAATAGATTATTATAAATATCATAATATTAATAAAGTATTAACGTATGTATTGGATGGTAATTGGTAGTAACTAGTAGTAATGAGTAATGGATCTAATAACTAATAAGAATTATAATTTACAATAAATGAATAAAACGAGAACGTATAAGGTCTTTTAGTTTATATACATAAATATTAAGAACGTGTATGACGTAAGCACTAATCGCCCGTATATAGTAGTAATAGTCTGATAAAGATGAACAATATTGTTAATACTTATATAAAAATAGATTTTATAAACATTTCCAATATTCGTATATAATGTATAGTTTATACGGTGAAAATTTCTATTTTTAAATTATTAAATCAAATCGTGGCCGATCGCTGATTGTGATACCGATCTCCGATAACCGAGACACCGAGTGCAGTGCACTAGTGCTCGTGTCTGTGTGTAACGTAAACGCATGTGGTGACAAATTTGATTTATTATGACCTCTGAAATTTGTACCTGTGGTAAAAAGCGAGAAAATCTTAATAAAACTAATTGGACGCGGCATATAAATTCTTGCAAGAAACGAAAACTTAATCTAAACAAGATTGATCGTTTTTTCAAGACTCCACGAATAACAGGTATTTACTATATTTATTAATTATTAATTATTAATTATTATTCATTATATTTGAAAATACTTTCGTTCATAGTTCTTTGGTAGTCAGGACTCACTGGTCTCAGGATTTTTTTTTTTTTTTTTTTAATTGATCCTGAGCCCGGCAACTGTGGCCATTAGCTATTAGTAGGTACTGTAGGTTTTTGTATTGATGGTTTGTAGGTTTTTGGAACGGTAGGGGGAACACGTGTGTGTTTGTTTTGGCAGAATTTCGAATGGGGCACCCGTAGGTTTCTGCCATGCCCCGGGGGTGGGGGATGGCAGCACTTGCTCTCCGGTCACCGCGACTTGTCCGGAGAAAAATGCCGCCCGGTGGCCGAGGATCGAACCGCGACCTATTAATTGCTACCGAGTTATAAATTTATAAATTATATACTTAATTATTTATTCTTTATAAACATATCCTAGTAATACATAATGATTTATGGAAATAATTTATATACAAGATAATCATGAGCAAAATTTGTATAACTATAGAAGCTATTAAGGTATGACAATCTACATTAAAAACAAAATGACTTGAAAATACTTAACCCATGTAAAATGTATTTATGTGTCAATTATAAAAATTATATACTATATAAATTAATAATATTCATTTACTAAATCATAATTGGTACTACTTTTTTTGTCATTAAAATTATTAATAATTAAATTTGATAATATGTGTGTGAAAAATGAAAATTAAAAGGTTAGTTAAAACAAAGTGTTGGCCATTGAATTGTTTCATTATTATCTTATTTTTAATGGTTGAATATTCAATTATATTCTTGTATTATAGTAAGTCAAATCCAATGTACCAGTACCAGCAAAGAACTTGTATCTAAGACTGCAACTAATTTAGAAGGTATTAATTATTTTATTCATTTTTAACTGCTCATACCTACTTATTTGTTAAAAAATTTTTTTTTATACTTTATAGATAGTCAAATTCAATGTATTCATCCCAGTACCAGCGAAGAACTTTTATCTAAGACTGCAACTGATGTAGAAGGTATTAAATCTTTCAATTTTATAATTTTTAAATACAAGTTTAAAATAATATATATTTTTAATGTAAATTATAAATTATTAATGCTGTCTCATTTTAAATTCCTACTTATATAATTAGTCTAAATTTAAATAATTACAACTTCTATAATACTATAATACTTAAAGAAAGTTTTTGTTATTTTTGAGCTCTTCCTAAATAAATTAAAGAATATTTTTTTATTTAAATGTATATTGTCATTAAAATACTATATTTTTTTTTCAATAATACTTGTTTCTTTAAGTTACCTACTTTTATTTTTAAACTTTCCATTTTTTTAGTACATTAAATTTATTTAAATTTTTGAGATTTATAATGCATTTTTAACTTCCACACCAATGATAATAATTAATATAAATAATTTAATGATGTTTATTTCTATTTTGTATCTTTTTATTTCAATTTATAATATCAGTCAACCTAATTAAGAATTATTATGATTTTAGAAAATGCTGATGTAGTTTTGACAACTATTTCTGACAACTATTGGAAAAATGATCCTAAACATTTTTTGAGTATGAAACAACAAATATCTCCAGAATTGAAAAATGAAATTTTAAAGTGGGGTCCATGTCAACCCGTGGCTTATGATTTACCAGGTAAAGCATTTAAAAAGAACAAAAACGGTCATCATTTCAATAGCTCATGGTATTATAATATATTGGACGATGGCAGTAAAATCCATCGTGATTGGCTATCTTTCTCACCAAATTTGGACAAAGCTTTTTGTTTGCATTGCATGTTGTTTGGAATAAACTTAAATAGTATGTCTCCTATGGCCTGGACCAAGAAAGGTTTTTCTACCTGGAAAAATGGGAGTATGTGTATAAAATCACATGAATGTTCAGAAGATCATATAACTTCTTCAATTAAAGTAAAAACAAGAAAAACTTGTCTCCCACTTTTACCTTTACTAGAAAATAGAAAGAAAATGGAAATTGCACAAAATCGACAAACAGTTTCTGATTTGATTAATGGGACAATTTTTTTAGCTCAGCATAACATGGCTTTCCGTGGACATCGTGAAAATTGGTCACGTAAACATTCCAAAGGAAATTTTAAAGACTTAGTCCTTTTAATGGCTCAACATTCATCATCACTTCAACAACATGTTGAATTTATTAAATCAAGTGGGAAAAAAGAAGTTTCATTTTTAAGTTGGAGGCGACAAAATACACTAATAGAGTGTATATCATATAATATTGCATTAACAATTCAAGAAGCTATTAAAACATCTGGAGTTTTCAGCATATCAATAGATTTAACGTTTGACTCGGCGCGTAAAGAACAAGTTTCTTTCATTGTTCGATATGTATGTAAAACTACTGGCGTAGTGAATGAAAGGTTAATTGCTATGCGTGAATCCCCTTACACCAGTGGAGTTGAACTATTTAATTTATTTAAAGAAGTAATGGCTAAAAATAATTTGGATTGGATTAACAACTTAGTAGGACAGTCTTATGATGGCGCTGCTAATATGCGTGGTGAGTATACAGGTGTGCAATCCTTAATTAAAAATGAAAATAAATCAGCAATATATGTATGGTGCCACGCCCATCGCTTGAATTTAATAGTTAAAGAAGCAGTTTCTTCTTGCACAGATGCAGTAAACCTCTTTGGTAATCTCGAAACTTTATACTCCTTTGTTTGGAATGCAAAAAAAAGAGTTGAATTATTTCGTTCAAACCAAAAAAAATACTCTTCAGCACAAAAAAATTTGGCTCTTAAACGTGTTAACACCACACGCTGGTCATCACATTCAGCTGCTTTAAATACAGTTTTGACCTCTCATAATGCTGTGATTGAGACCCTGACCACAATTAAACTTTCTGAAGGTCCTGGAGACGCCAAGACAGGAGCTGCAGCTAGTGGTCTTTTAGATTATTTTACTTCTTATCGTTTTCTAATTGTAGCAATAATGTTTAAGAAATTATTTCAAATAATTGAACCTGCTAATAAAATATTACAAACTCGTGATTTGGACTTGTTAGCTGCAACAAATTTGATAGAAAGTGCTAAACATAAAATTAAATTATTAAATGATAGAAGTTTAAATGCTTTTCAAGACATTATAAAGGAAGCTGATCAATTTGTAATTGATTCGGAACAAGAATTTACTCCAATAGTAGTATCTAGACCAAAACGATGCCCAAAAAAATCAGGTGAGTTAAGTAAAGATACTCCCATATTAGACCCTGTGAAACAAATTAGAATAGAATGTTTTAATAAAACACTTGATATTATTCAAATGGATTTTAGTGAACGTTTTAATATTAATGAGACTGGCTTAATGAAAGATCTATCACTAATTTCAAGAAGGAGAATTATGGAAGTGAGAAAAAATCCAGAAACTCTTCCAAAAGATGCTTTTATTATAGTCTGTGAAATATACTCAAAATATCTGAACAGAGAGAGTTTGATTTCAGAATACCAACAATTTGCATCAAATTTTATTGAACTTGAAAAATCAATTAAACTTCCTTTATTTTTACATGAAACTGATGACAATTCTGATTGTGATGACGATTATGTACTAGAATTTAGCTTAGATATGGATTTATATTCTAATTGTGATGCAGATAATACTACACAATCTTCATTTTCACAAGAAAACTCAGGAAGTCTGGGGGATTTGTTCTCTATATTTTGTTTGGAAAATCTACAGATCACATTTCCTACTCTCTATGTTTTACTACATTTGGCAATTACATTGCCGGTTTCAAGCTGTAGCGTGGAAAGGAGTTTCTCCAAACTAAAACTTGTGAAGACCAAACTACGAACAACTATAACTGAAGAAAGACTGGAAAATCTTATGCGAATTTCATGTGAGCAAGATGTTGATATAGATAATGAAAAAATTATTAATTTATTTGCCCAAAAAAGTAATGTTTTGTCAAAGGCTTTACTCTTTTAACTGTACAATGTTTTCTTTATCATTATTATTCATATTATCAAATAGTTTTGTATTTAACAAATTTGAAATGGCTTGTGAATACTATAATATATGACATTTTTCTTTAAATAGTTTTATGAGTAACTTTTGTTTATTTTGTTTATTTTCTGTAACTACTTATATTTTGTTATTTGTAGGTAACTAATAAAAGTATAGTTTAAATACTTCATTTCAAATTTTCTTTCGAATGTTATTATTAAGAAAATCTTATTAAAATTTGTCATTGATAACTATATTTTTTTCCAGGTACAAGATTTCATTAAATTAATATACATAATTTTTTCTGAAATATTTCATTAATTATGCTAGATAACAATGTACTATCCAATAATTTTACTTTCCTTATGTGTATGAATTTATAAATAAAAACTAGTAATATATCAATTTTATTATGACATGGTTGTATGACTTCTATGATCTATTTAAAAAGTTAGAGCTGAGTATAGGAAATTATCAAAGGCGCAACTCCATACCAAAAAAAATATTGTATGATTAGACTCATGAATGAATGTTTTAGGCATTTAGGCTGATACTTGAACATTTTATAAATATGTTACAGCAATTTAAGAGCTATAAATGGATTTGGAGGGCAAAGCTCCAACAATAAAATTATGATGTGCAAGGAAAATTTACAAATCACCCCCTCCTTGGCGTACTCCAGATACGCCACTGTTGCTAGGTGGGTATGTCAAAGTTATCATAATAGTTGTGTCCATATAGCAAAAAATTGAGATGGGCGCCCCTGATAATAATAATAATGAGTACTCATAGGGAGACAGGCCATGTGTCCACCGCAGTGAAATAGAAGCCTATACAAAACCCCTTAAAAATGATGGATTTTCAACAAAATATAACTGACGGTAAAAGATTATAAACAAAAAATACAGTTAAAATGTAGTATAATAATTTTTTAAACTTTTAAATAATATATACCTACATTGTTAAGTATTATTTTTGATCTATGTAATAATGTTGTATGACTGTATTTCAACTCGCTGCTCCCTCTCACCAACTCGCTTTTTGGAACAGCCTCAGGAATAAGTACTTTGTTTTTAGATGTATTTTCATTGTACTTTGTACAGTGATATTATTGTAATTTATGATGATTCAATAAATATAATAATTAATTATTATTAGTCTTAATAATGCAATTATTTTTAAAAAAATTGCCGAAAAACAAACATCCATTCTAATTACATTTTTAGTATGATTACAATGAAACAAAAATAACATACTTACATACCTAATAAGTTCAAAGTTTTAAATAACAACATATTATGTAAGTTAAATTCTCTATAAAACGATTTTTTTGTCCGTTAAATATTGCTAAAACGTAAAAAGAAATTTCCCAGCACCCAACTTTAAGATTTAAACCAATAAATAAAAAAAAATAATTTGATTTGCATAAATTGTTATGATTATGGATATACATTTATTACAGTAAAAACCTTAAAAAAGCATATAACATCTCAAAATGTTTGCTATAACATGCACTATAAAATCTCGAAAATATAATTAAAAATTAAAATATAAAACTTATTAAAATCTGTGAAGTTTTAAAAATTACATTTTAAATTATTTTTATCTGCTTACAAAAATGTATAAGACAAAAATTAAAAAACAATACATAAAATGCATGTAAAAAGTTTTAATTAACGAGAATTGTTGGCAAATACCTACAAGTCTCAAGGAATCTATTAATATAACTTCTATTGAAGCCCAAGACGGTACAGTAGTTTAGAGTCTATTAATTACAGACAGATAGACCAACATTCATATAAATACAGAGTGGATTTATCAATCAACAGGCATGCTCACCCCTTTTTTTAAATTTAAAATCTGATTTTTGGTATTTTTAAATATACTTAAACATCCTAATTTCAAATTCTTGGGATTTTTTGTACTACCTAATTACTTAAGGAGTTTCCTGTGGAGATAAAAACTACTTTTTTTCAAAATAAATGAGAGCACCCCTTCGACGGTAAATTATTTAGAGGAAAAGTTTTCCGAAAAAGTACATAAAAATGTGTCAGACACAAAAATATATTGGACATAGAAATATGTTCAACATTCAAAAGAAAATTGGACAGACAACAATAATCAACAATCAGCTTCTTTTAGTCGTTAAGCATTTTTTATTAGACCCTTCTGTAATGAAATAGTAGAAGTCAAATTAGCCTTTTTGAATAATCACCCTTTTCACCTTTTCAACTTCCTGTACCTATTTTAATTAATTATAAACTTTCATTGACCAAAAATAAGATCTATTATCGAAATATTCTAACTAAAAAATATCAAAATCAAGATAAAATTCAATGTAAATGGTTGTCTTATTGTTCATACACTAAAAAAAATGTATTGCAATACGTGTATGGCATTTAGTCATAAAATAATTAGCAATCGAATAATCGAATATCTGGGTTAAATATTACTAATTTTAAAAATGTCTATAATACATTAAAAATACATGAATTATCACAAGCAGATCGTGAAGCAGTTTCTGCATTGCTTAGAACAACTTTAAAAAAAGAATTGATGATTGTATTGATTTTAATTAAAAAGAAATTCATTCTAAAGAAGTAGAATATTCTTGTTTAGTTATTAAAAGGCTAACTCTCATAATTGTGTTTTTTGGTAGACAAGGTCACAAGGAATATCTTTTTTTTTATTAGCCTTTATAAAAAATTTAGCTCAACAATTAAAGTATCTTACAGCTAAAAAAAATTAAAAATATGTGTACAATATTAACGAGTTATACAAAATAAATAAATAAATAAATAAATAAATAAATAAATAAATACATAAGGAATATCTTTTAGATGTAAAGACGAAGAAGCTTATAATTTAAAAGATAAGTCTGTAAATCATGGTCATTTTTTAAAACTTGTAATGTTATTTAAAGATTATGATGCTGTGTTAATGAGGGAACGGAAAAAAAGTCTCGGAACAGAAAAAGTTCATAAAATGGTTGAAATATGTAGGTGGGTACAATTTAGAACATATCAAATAAAACTTGTATAAACACGACTCTGTATAATATGTTAGTTGCGTGAAAAATATAATAAAATAAAATATTATCTTACAGCCAGTCTTATTATTTGTATTAGATTGTGAATATCATGGAATATACATAATATACATATATTATAAGCGGACCAGTGGCACAGTTAGCTCAAACATTTTTTTTTTTTGGTGTTGAAGCTGAAGTCAAAAGTAACCCGATAGAGCTTTGTCTCCACCCCCAGTTCAGTGCATATTTATATTTAAAAAAATAATAAATAACAAAATAATTATTTTTACAGTAGTTTCTTTTAGGTGTTCCAAACATAATAGTTCAGACAGTGCCGGATTTAACCATTGTGCCGCTTTAAGCACTAAATAATTTGCCACCTTTAAATAAATATTTTTCTAGTCTAAAAAATGTTATTAAAGCATACAATGATAGTTTTTTATTTTTTTACTTAAAACTTTAATGATGAAAAATAAAAACATACAACTCTACGATTATGAAATTGGAAAACATAAAATATAAATATTACCACAATCCCGTTGGTCTAAAAACATTTTATAATTAGTTTCATTTGATTTAAGTTCTAGTTACATATAACAAAAATGTAATATTAAAAATTATTTGCCACCCTAAGCCTTAGGCTCGGGCCACACGATGCGTTTCTGCCGCATGCGGTTATATGCGTTGTCGCCGCATGCGTTGGGTTTTTGTACGGACCGTTTAGTTTTAAATAGNCAATGCAACGCATAGTGTGGCCCGATATGTTATTGCGGCGTCACCGCTATTTATTTTGACGCATGCGGCAGAAACGCATCGTGTGGCCCGAGCCTTAGCTTACGAGTATAGTGTTTACTGGGAAATACGGCACTGAGTTCAGACATTAGAACATCTTATAGAGTTGTGTCCGAACGTCCGTTAATTATCAATATATAGGTACTCGTACTATATATCTACATACGAATCGTATGATACGATAGTGGATTGTTTGGGTTTAGATTTTATAACCGTGGTTCTATTCAAAGTAAAATATTTATATTAGCCAATATAACAATTTTAAAATCTTAATAACCAATATTACCTTAGCAAATTATAAAAGTTAAGTACCAAATAATTATTTTGAAATTGTATATTATGGAGTATAGAATTGTTTGATTGAGTTGTAAAAATACGTCCAGTTATATATATTATCATATGTTATATCTTATATGTACCTTTTTAAAAACTTGGTATTTAAATTTGTTAAGTAAGACTTTAAAAAAGTTAGAAAAGCTCATTCTTTGAGCACGTTAAATTTCTGGTTTTTAGACATATTTTAAAACGGCTAGACTATAACAATTAGTTATCCGTGATGATCAAATATAATACTTGACAAAAAAAATGAAACACACTTTACAAAACATTTATCATGAAAAAATTAAAAAATGTCTAACGTATTTTTAACTATTATTGGGCGGTGATATTTTTGGCATGACGATGAATATGTCCGTTTCACATGGGTACGACAGTTTACTGAGTCATATTAAACCAAATGCTTTATTATTATTTATTTATTTAGAATTGATATTATTTAAGTTTGAATGTTATTTTACATTGAGTTGGTTAATACTTCTCCCATAATTGCACTTATGAAATTGGCAGAATCGTTTTATAGTAAAATTCGATTCTGAGATCTGACATAATTTTAAATGCAACACTAAATATTTGTACATGTACCTACCTACTCTAAATTATTTATACACGGATGTAGTATAATATAGGGTGGCCAGATTTAATTTTTAGAAAACCGGGACACCAAAATTCATAAAAAATAGGTTAATATGTAGTAAGTATATACTATATAATTACATAGGTAGCTGTATATAACTTTTAGGTATAAATAATATTCAAATTAATCAATTAGATAGGCTATCTTTATTTTATGAACACTTAAAATTCAAATAAAAACAATAATACAATTTCCAGCCGTTAAGATAAGTATACTAATCTAGGTAGATTTTACTGATTTATTATTTTTCTTTATTTTTGTCGTCCAAAGAGACCTTATATTTTTCAGTGCTGTGTACTTTCTTCAGTAGTGTAGAATTTTTTATTATTTAATTGTAAAATTCAATGCAACTCAATACATATGTTTTTGTTATCAGACAACATTCTATTGATTTAGTATCCATTTGATTTCGAACGTCAGTCCAAGTAGTTGTCATTAAAGAAAATACTCGCTCTATTGACGCGTTTGACCCCGGTAAACAAAATGCAAACTCTACAACCATTGCCAGATTTGATACATTTACCTCTTTTTCTTTAAATATATTAAATATTTGTACCCATTTTTGTTCTACTAAAACAACATTTTTTGTCCAGTCATCAAATTTGTCTTGAAAAATGTTTATAAAAGCCATAAACTCATCAAAGTATTCATCTTCATTAACTTTAACATATTTTGATAACATCTTTATTGTATTTTTAGCATTATTCCATGTAACTGTATTTTTGTTTGTTAAGTGCAACCAATTTAATTCAACCATTAGTGCCTGGTTAGGTAATGTCCACTTTTGAATATACGATATACATAAATCGTAAAACTTTTGACAATTTATATCAAATTCTTTTTTAACTAAATAACCCTCTTCTTCAATAGAATCAATCATTATCTCCATTTCAGTATTAATAAAATGTTCATTCTTTCTGTTTTTTAAGTTATTTAATAAACTGTTTAATATATCAATTAATTCAAATGCCGAAATTTTTTCCCCTTCAATTTTTTGAATATAGTTATTGAACAGTTTAAGCATACTTTGTATAAATTTCATATATAATAGAGCAGTGACGTTTTGAAAAAAGTCAACCAATATCTTAGGACTCGAATCTTGTGAAATAAAATACGACTTTAGGCCATCAAACATTAAAATAATTCTGGCAATTGCAGGAGACAGCGATAGCCATCTAGTTTTGGCATGTGATAAAATATCACGGTATTGGACATCAGCAAAATCGCAAAATTCTTTTAATTTTTCTACCAGCACTGTATAAATGTGGAAATATCCAAAAAGTTTAACTGTAATAGTGTAATAGCTTCTACGTCAATAGGTAAATTATCTGACGCGATTTGTACAGCGTTATGTAGGATATGAGCGTTGCAACCTAATCCACACTCAGAAAAATAACGTTCTTCGTTCTTATAACAATGCATCATTAATTTAATGCTTTACTTACAACTTAAAGTCAATGTTAAATATACTTAAATTAAAGATAATATTCTTAATAATAATTCAATTTCAATAAATGTGGCTTCTTAATTGTATGTCAACACCTTACAAATAATGAATAAAATTTATTTAATTTAATGAATTTTATTTCTTAATATGCATGCCAATCTTACTTAATCTTATAATAATAGTTTTTATTTTAATGATATTATTTCATTAATTTATTGTTTATAATAGCTTATAGAATTAATGCTAACATACGTTATATTGAAGACTATATTATGTGCAGTTGCATTGAAATAATAAATAATTGCATTACGTTATTGTCTCTTATCATACATTCAATGAAATAAAAATAATATTTCTTAAAATCAATGACACTTGTCGTTGATATGAGAAATATTCGCATAGTATTTTTCTATATATAGAATGAACGCGGCAGACTGAGAAGAAACCCACCGGCCATCGCCATCATTTTGTATTTTTATTATAATCAATAATCATTCATATTATGCCTACTGCCATAGTCGGTATAGCGTGTTATATTATATTAAAATTTACGTATATCGTGCGCGTTTGTGTATACCGCTGTATACATTTTTTCACGGTTCAGTACATTTTAATTTGTGACTTATGTGATGGAAATCAATCATTTTGATATTTCAAGTGCGTCAGTGGAAATTCTTACAGGTGCAGATGATTTTTCGGACGAAACCTCTCTTTTAGATGTATTAATTCAGTTGAAAGGCGAGTGCTTTTTCAATATATTCATCGGTAAGTACTAAGTTGATATTTAATTTATTATTATAGATATTATAGACAATATTATATATAAACTTACGTCTTACGTATAAGTATTATAATATATAATATAGGTACTTACATATAATATAAGTGCCAAGGGCTGATTCAGATAACGGAGGGGTAATTACTTACTAAAACTTAAAAAATTAAAATATTTTCATAGAATATGGGATTTCAGTAGAAAGCTTAAGATACATGAACAGTCAACATTTAAATACCATTTGTCCGAATAATATGTATGGTCAGCGAATAATTTTTGAAAACCATTTGAAAAAGTGGCAATCCACTATAAACGCAGGGGTATATGTTGCCTATTACCAACTCTGTGAAAGAGGTAATCTCCTACAAAGTTATTATTTTTTATGTTGATTGTTAACTAAATAGGGAGAAGTTGTAACCACTACAGACAATTATTCGTCAGATTCTGCAGAAAGTTCTAACAGCTCAGCATGTGCAAAAACAGAGGTAGGTACCTAATAATTCTTGTTTCATTCATAATATTATATATCATTATACTACCAACAGAGGTGCAGGTTTGAATATAATATTATATTTACTATTTAGTGGTGCAATACCCCAATCGGAAAATTATGAGTTACGCCGACACTTACAAAGGGCGCAGTACTGCGACTGTACGGGCGGCCAACAGTGGGCTGGCCCTTATGGGTACAGTACTGACTATAATTTTATCCAGTACTAGACCAGTACTGGAAAACCAGCACTGGTAGATTAGTCCTGATCTAGTACTGGCATATTACGGGCCACGATCAATATGCCAGCACAGGTCAGCTAGTGTTTCTCGTAGATGTGCCAACGTTGGTGGAGTACTGGCATTTTACGGACTGTGTTTCAATTGCTAGGGCCAGCCAGTGTTTGTCGTAATTGTACCTACGTTGGCGGAGTACTGGCTATAAGTGCTTAAGTTGTAATAAAGCTCTGTGCAAATAGTATAAATATTATACTGGCGCATCCAGTCATCTTGTTTAGGTATCCTGTACTACTGTTACACAATTTTGCGTGGGTATATTACGAATTACGATATAATTGGGAGGTACATATTTTTATAAAGGCTTGTTCTGGAGTGAAGTAGCTATTTTACAATCTTATATACGACCTACCCCGAGTACCTTGTGATTTTATTTAATTGTTTTTAAAACAGTGTTTTGCTTTGTCTTTATTGTGTCAAAGTATCAAAGGTGTGTCGTATGTGATTTATAATGATTAAATTATATCAGTTTAATATACCTACAATATAATATATTGGTTAGTATATTATTACGTTTTCTGTTATAAATATATAAATCTGTTGTTGTTGATAAGCTTATATTCGGGGAAAACCATATAACGACTGTGTGCCCCCGCCGTACACCGCACTTCCAATGTATTATCGTTCGATCATGGCGCGGCGTTCGCCGGTCGGCGGTCACACACACACACTCACACGACAATACGACATACACGAACACACATACAAACAGAGTGACTACAGTAGTACAGTCACCAGTAAGTAGAGATGGGATGATTCGAATCATTCGAATCGAATCAGTCAAATGATTCGTTCATTTGATTCGTTCATTCGGTCACTTATCTAAATATTGTTTATTATCGTTCAAAAGATTCGTTTGAATGAACGAATGTTTCGTAACAGTATCATAGTATCATACTATCATACTGCTACGAAACATAGTGTCAAACATACTGTCAGTATGACTTTATGACCAGGGACGGCGCTAGGATTTGCGGGGCCCCGGGCAAAATAAATAACAGTATATGTGTAGTCTTCGGAATACTGTAGGTACTTACACAAAAAAAATTTCTCTTTACTCCGCTCGGAAACTAGATTACATATTATTATCCAAATTAACTAGGTACTTAATAAATCAATTTTATCAAATATCAATCATCCATTTATACATAATATTATATTATATTTTAATAAATTATTACAAAATAATTTTAAAATGTAATCAATATAACAGAATGAACAATAAAAACAATAAAAATATTGATTACATTAGTCATAACATTAATACATATTCTTAAAACATTACTTTCCTTGATTTTTTAGCAGCAAACTGATTTATGATATCATCATAATCTAAAGATTCAGAAATATCTTTTTCTATTGAAATTATTGAAAGACCAGAAAGGTTTTCTTGGCTTAACTTGTTTCTCAAATATGTTTTTATTAATTTCAGTTTTGAAAAGCTTCTCTCAGCACATGCCGAAGTTACTGGTATTGTCAGTAAAATTCTAAGGGCAATACCAATATTTGGAAAACATTCTGAAGAATATTTTACTACTGACAAAGCTTCAAGAGGAGTCGTTTCTTCATTTACTATCAATCTGAAATTTATCAATTCATTATACAACTCCATGAAATCAATATCTTTCGAATTCCCATCTTTTAGATTGATTTCAAGGTCCTTACAATATTTCATTAAATTGTCATCATTCGCATATCGTAACTTTCCAATACGAAATAAAAACCCAAAATAATCTTTGTACGATTCAATTTGTTTAAAACGATTTTCAACTGAACTAGTTGCTTGATCTATAACTAGTAAGAAATATTCTTGTCTAAAATTGTCTTCTTCGTCATTGATTCTTTCATCGTTTCCTTCATAATCAAAATTTTTCTTTTTCTTTCTTGGTCGGGTTTTCTTAAATACTGGTTCAACTTCAATTTCTTCTGCCAAATTATTAGCAATAATTTTAGCATTCATAAATCCTGATTCTCTGTAAGATTTCAAAAAAGCTAATAAACTTTGTAACATGTCATTTGAAATATTAATATCTGCATCTTTCCCTTGTAAACTCTTACTTACTATGTTGACTTGAACTAATATGTCATACCAAATTATTAGACTTAGTATAAATTCATATGTACTTATTTCAGTAATTAAGGATCTAGCATCACTTTTGGCAATTGAGTCATTAGCTGTTTCTGATACTTCTTCTAGAGCTTCTATTATATTTGATAATTGGAATCGTAGAGCTTTAACACTATTCACTCGGTTTTCCCAACGTGTTTCCGACCATTGTTTTACTGTAAAAATACTACAAAATTTTTTGAAAATGTCCCAGCGACTAGTTGATGCAGAAAAAATAGTATATATTCGTTGTACTGTCCCAAAAAATGTTGATGCCCTAGATGAATTTTTAGCTGCGTCTCGAAGCACTAAATTTAAGTTATGAGAGGCACATGGGGTAAAAAATGCTCTTGGATTTTGATTGGTTACCCGTGTCTGTACCCCTTGATATTTACCAACCATGTTTGACCCATTGTCATATGCTTGCCCTCTACAGTTCATAATGTCAATACCATATTCATTTAATTTATCAATAAGTACATTTGATAAATTTAATCCAGTAGTAGATTGAACAGGGATAAAATCTAGAAAGTATTCTTGAATTTCTGGACTATGGGTGTTATTATCATTCATATTCACTATTCTAAATAAAAGAGATAGCTGTTCATTGTGACTAATGTCAGGAGTGCAATCCATTATGACAGAAAAATATTTAGCCTTTTTAATGTTATTAATAATTTTTTTTCGAATTTCTGTTGCCATTAATGAAATTAATTCCTTCTGAATTTCGTGCCCTAAATAATGCACATGAGTTTCATGGTTTTTTATTCGTTTTAAATGCTCTATAATAACAGGATCAAACTTATTTAGCATTTCAATTGCTCCAAGAAAATGACCATTACTTTTAGTAAATAAGACTTCCGATGGTCCTCTGAACGCATCATTGTTTTTGGATAAATAGTGAATAATACTAATCACACGAGTAAGAACATTTCTCCAGTGATTTTTTTCCTTTTCAATAATGGCCAAATGTTCTTTATCAATTGTTAAGTTTTTAGATATTCTTACATTTAACTCCATCCAAGATTGAATTGATTGAAAATGAATCTTTGAACTTTCATGGGATTTTAATTTTTCTGAAAGATGTTTCCAATCTTTTAGACCAATATTACACAAATGACTCTCATTTTGTTTATTTTGTTGGAATATTTTGCATGGAAAACAATAAACAGAGTCTTTAACTTTGGAATAAACAACCCATTTTCTATCAATCATATCACCATTTGATAACTTACGATAGTAATTATTTGCAGTAAACCTTCTTTTTTGACCATTTTCATAGCTAGTTATGGGAAAATCATAATTCTCTACTCTTACCGGGCCTAGTTTTACAATTTCATACTTATCTGTATTAGTTAACAGCTGAGGCCAATTAGCAGGATCGGAGTGATCATAAGAAGTTGTAATTACATCACAAGTGGTATCTTTTTCATTTGTTTGAACAAAACTCTCCAGTTCTTTGTTAATGTTCTTCACTAAATTAACATCAGCATCGACCAATTGAATCTAAAAATTATATATTGAATAGTTTTTATGATACCCAATTAATATGTCAGAATACATCCTACCTCAGACTCAACAATATTCTGTTCAACAATTTCTGGTAAATTAACATCAGATGTAGTATCAACCATTTCAATCTAAAATTTATAAAATTTACAATAATAAACTAGCTAAATTAACCATTAAATTAAAGTATCTATTTTATTTGTTGATTGCTTATTATATTGAATTAATATTAATATTAATATATTTTAATATATTTTATTTATATTGAATTAGTTTTCATGACACACAATTAATATGTTAGAATACACATATAACCTACCTCAGACTCAACAATATTGTGTTCAACAATTTCTGGTNTAACCCTTTATAGGGCATTAGTTAAAATGTGAGCAGAAATGGATAGAATTTTCAGGATAACATAACTATAGATAGAGGATACTAAAATAAATAAATAAAAAAACATATTTGTATTTGCAGGGGTTGAATTGGGGGTGGGAAGTTATGGGAAATTATTTCCCAATGACCGTTCTGCTCATACAATACTAATACATATTATTTAACTATTTGCACTCTTTTATATCTATAAATCACGGTATATTATAGAGGTATTAGCACGGACTACATAATGTGTCTGCCAAAATGTATTTAATTGATTACCAAATCACCAGAGCGCGTTGTAGTCTTTTGCCCCTAGTTCCTTCCGTGAACGGTATATTATAGCGTATATACCGTCCTTCCGTGTTATAATTATAACCACGGTCCACGATTATAACCATCATCAATCCCTAATCCTTAATCTTACAAGTTACAATTATTTTTATTAATTATTTAATTAGTAATAAATAATAATCCAGTGGTAGTTGCAAATTTATGTAACAATGGTGAAGTGTTTTATTGTAAATTGTAAAACTGGGTATGCTTCTAACAAAGACAAGGTAGGTATTAATATTTAATTTTGTCTTGTTCTTATTCAACTTGTAAAGATGTTAGACTTCTGACTTTTTATCGATTTGTATTAGTTTTCTTTATTTGGAGTTCCTAAAGATCCACTTTTGTTTTTAAAATGGAAGAATATTATACCTAAACGTGAACGTGAGTTGATGACAAATTCAGCTGTTTGCTCTAAGCATTTTGAACCAAGTCAAATTATCAGAGAATGGACTTCAGGACACATAAAGGTAATTCAAGTATTTATTAATATATTTAATTAACAATATTAATTGTAAGTAAAATTACACATAAAAATGTTTATGTGATTTGTGAATACCTAAAAAGTAAGTCAATGTAAAATAATTTAGATAGGTAGTAAGTATGTATTTTTTTTTTTTTAAAAAAGGGAATTTATTTTATATACAATGTTTTATTTTTATAGTATGCACTGAAAAAACCTCGGTTAAAAGAAGGGGCAATTCCAACAATATTTCCTGATATACCAAAATCTTGCTTAAAAAGTATACCTAAGGCAAGGAAAAGTCCTAAAAAGCGTTTGTTACTATGTGATACTCAGATTATTCAAAGTATGTTAAGTAAATATTGTGATTATGCTTATAAACACAAAGCTGTAAAGTATTTAAGTAAAATAATCATATAATATTGTTTAAGCAGAGTAAAAATGTAACTAAATAAATATATATAAAAAATAATATAAAATATATTACAATATAAATAATTAATAAATATAATAATATAAAATAAATAATATACAATAATAAGTATATATAAGTACTTATTTTTGTATTTGCTGAATAGGAACTTTGAAGTTTTGATCTGACCTTATCCATTAATTGTATTTAAATACTTTTAGTCCAAGCCATTCTTATGTTAGAATATGCAGGTGCAAAAGTCACCGCCTTAGTGTGTGATGGTGCTAAACCAAACAGACGTATGTGGCAAGAATTTGGTATATCAGGGGAGCTTGGTAAAATGAAAAATTCATTTAAAAACCCCTATGATGACTCAAGGAAAATGTTTGTTCTTTCAGATGTTCCACATTTATTTAAATGTGTTAGAAATCGTCTTATCTCTAATGAACTTATGGTATGAATTAAGTTTCTAACCCTTATTTTTTACTTTAAAATGTTTATATATAAATTATAATTTTAACATTTTATTTTTACATTAGACAAGTTTTGGCTTAGTTCGTTGGAGACATATTGTTGTGTTACATAAAGAGGATAAAAAATCTGTGGGTAATGTAAGAATCTGTCCAAAATTAACAGAATCTCATATATATCCATGTTCATTTGCAAAAATGAGAGTTTCATTGATGACCCAAGTAATGCTACACTATTTAGTATTTACTATGTTGAATATTTTGCTTTTTCACTTATTTTTTAAATATATATTAAATACTTGATATTTTCTAGGTTTTTAGCAAATCTGTTAGTGTTGGACTCAATTTATATAGAGAAAGGCTAGTTGAAGAGTTAGAAGATAGTGAACCTACATCAAAATTTGTATTGCACATGAACAATTTATTTGATAGCTTGAACAGAAAATATCCAGGAGAAGGAATTAAATTTAATAGTCCAGATATTAAAGTGAGTTTTAATGAAATTAACAATGTTGGCATCAAATATTATTTTTTAACTCTTTTAACACTATAGGTTATAAAAAATACAGTATACATTCTTCATATTTACACACTTATTCGTGAATTTGAAAATCGTTTTAAAGACATTCGAACTAAAGAACCAATTATAAATCTATTTGAAAATCCATTTAATATAAATCCGGAAATTGTCGAAGCTTCTTTACAATTAGAAATTATAGAACTCCAATCTAATAATTCTTTAAGAACAANAATATAATAATATAAAATAAATAATATACAATAATAAGTATATATAAGTACTTATTTTTGTATTTGCTGAATAGGAACTTTGAAGTTTTGATCTGACCTTATCCATTAATTGTATTTAAATACTTTTACATAATTTTTATAAACAATTATTTGGTAGTATTTTAAGTAATTGTATTGGTACATTTTCCTGTAACTGCAAAAATAAATTTAATTTTTAATTTTTTGTTTTTATTTAATGCTTTTTATTGGATGTTTTTAATTTTAAATTATTAAAGAAATATATTTTTTATTACTCTGCTTAACTATAATTTATAAGTGTTACATAATATGAGGTGGGTACATATATTATAAGTAAATTTTTATAAAAATATTTTAATATTTTTTAAAACAATTGTATATATTATATATATAAACACTCCTATCATGTACCTAATTAGTAAATTAATATAATTAATATTGATGGTTACTTTTATGGCTTAAAGGTTCTGATCAAACTACCGAAGATATATTATTCGACTATGAGCTTGAGACTTCTACAGTAACTCGGAACATAAATCAATTTAGTGCTTGGAATTCAGTTGAAATGTTGAAGCTTCCAAATTTAACGTGGTCTTTGTTTAATATGCAACATTTTAAAATAATTGCTTCTATAGAAATGTCATTACACTCAGATCCTGAAACAATCATATTTAAAGAAGTTCGTATACTCGAGTCAAATAACTTTATTCAGAGTTTGATTTTCGGAAAAGTATATGCATCTTCTACCTGCATTAATTCATTAGAAGAATTAAAAAGTTATTTGGAGGATTTCAATAACATAAATGTTTGTCATGGTAGTAGTCTTCCAGCTCAAATGTTCCATGGTATAGATCAAATAAATAATGGATATATAAACCGTATAAATCGATGGCAAAGTAAAAATTGTACTGTTAAAATAGATAATTTTGGGAGTGGAATTTGTCAACCTTGTTTTAATTTGGAGAAAGCTCTTAAGACTCGAAAATCTCGTTCCCAAATTTCCAACAGTAAGCCAAAAATGTCAACTTTATTAAGTCCTAGTAAAAAATTATTATTGAAGCGTAAATTAGATAATTCAAACAAAGTAAAATTAAGACTCTTGTACAAAAATAGACAATTGAATAGTACTTTGCATACACTACAACAACAGTTAACTGACATTTCTGAAAACACTGTGGACGATCACATAAAACGTCTAAATTTGCCCTACTCTCAAGCAATGGCAATTAGAGAATGTATGCGTGTTGGAAAATATAATGCAAAAACAAGCAGAAGATATTCTAATGATTGGCTCTTGACTTGTATTCTATTACATATACGTGGTCCTGCTTTGTACAAGTACATATTAAATAATAAAATATTACCTCTCCAGTGTAGTCAAACCATAAAAAGGCAACTTAGTCGTGTGAAGCTTAGCTGTGGGTTTGATGAAAAATTTTTTGAAGCTTTTAAAAAGAAAATGGAGGCAAAATCTGAACAACAGAAACATGGTGTACTAATATTTGATGAGATGAGTGTCCGTAAGTCATTAAAATAGAGAACAGTTAAAAGGCTGTAATAATTAATTGAAAAATTAGTTAAATAAAAATAAGATAATATGCATACCTATTAACTATTACTACCTACTATTTATTATTATTCTCATTCTCGACAGCAAAAATAGGGGTAAATGACTGCAGCGCGCTCTACTCGTTCAGTACTGAATTATGCACAAACGAACGGACATACAGTAACATTGCATACATAGGCTCGTGCTAATACCTCTATAATATACCGTGGTCACCAGTAAGTGAGTTGTACAGTTACTATTATTAATAGTAATTATTACATAAAGTTACTATAATATTCTTTATTCTATTCTACTGTCTCTGTGTGAAAGTTTCTTTAATTTCAATCTATCTACCATCTACGAGTCTACGACGCACGTGTTGACGTACATCAGTTCAACAGTCAACAGTAAAGTTGTACAGGTGCGTTTTCGGTAAGTACAATTTTAATTATTATTTTGGTCATTATTGTTATTAATATTATAAATTGTAACTTCGTGCTAAACTAACTTCCTACTAAAACTCACTGTCTTACATGAATTAAAACTAATAGAACAATATTATTTATATATATTAATATATTTATAACACCCCCAAAGAGGTAAATGAGTACATGAAATGTCGTTTATTATATAAATAATAGGTTGTATAATGATGTGAACATTATTATAGGTATTCAATTTTGTATTATGCATATTGTTAATTCAATATAATCGGTCTGTATTAATTGTAAATACCAAATAGTTTCGCCAGTTTCGGTCCAGTGTGCTAAATTTTCATTTATTTATCATTATCACTCTTATGATTACTAGAATTTAATTAATTTATTTTACTTGTGTACCTACTAATATTGTTGGTTTAAATCAAACGTTAGTACAACTTTTAAATGTAAATGTAGGTACCTAGGTATAGTATAGGAAGGTAGTATAGACGTATAGTCTTGTAAAATTGAATTTATTTAAATCAATAATATATTAATAAATGTAAATTTCGAGGTACAACTTAAACAAGTATCTTGGTAACTTATAAATGTATAATATACCTACATTATTGAAGTACCTATGTACATAGTATATTTATAGGTAAGTAATTTGACACAGGGGAGGAAGTGACAGACCAGCGTTCCATTAAATTTGTATTAAAGAAAAAGTTGTGAAAATTGTTTATTATTTCATTTTATAAATAATCTTAGCAAATATTTAGTTGAATTCTCTATGGTACTGCTTTTTGATACCAAAATAAAAAATACTTATTAAAGTTAGAAGTTTAATAGTTTTGAAAATACATCAACAAATAGGTAAGATGATGTAGATTTGAAACCTACCCAACCCTTTTAATGGGTTTTCCCTAACTTTTGGTATACTTTTATATGATGCCGTCCAGTCACTTCTCCCCAGGACATTACCTACCTAATTTCATTTAAAAATATGTTAAAACTATTTGATTATAATATAAAATGAAACAATTTATTACATATAATATATTTTGCATGGAAGGTAGTCTTGTTGCACAGGTGCAATATACCTATTAGGTATTTCATTACTGTTTTATTTTAAATTGTAGGTATACCATAACTTTAATATGCTTTAATAAGTAACTATAAACCATTTAAATATAAAATTTAACTACCAATGCATTCTTTAAAAAAGTTTTATATTATATAACACCTATATGTTCAATATTAATATATATTAATGTTAGTTAGTTGTGAATTATAGTTCCTGAATTGTTGTACAATTATTTTTTTTTAATAATACTATTTATTATTCATTAATAAATTGGTAATAAATGTATATGAGGTTCTATATTATAAGACTATATTGTATTATTCCATCAAGTTTTAAACCATCAGTATTCATTGCTATATACCTACATTTTATTTCAGAGGACGCTACACCCACATGTGTTGTCTCCGTTACCCAGCTATACAATGTCTTATATAATTTATAAGGAGCTAAATGTGTTTAACTTTGATAGGTTATTTATTTAGAAAATGTTGATTATTACTTGCATATAACCATAACAATGTTATTCCAGTATGTAAGCATAATTTAAATACTAGATTTAAAATAAATATAAGTATGACTGCCTACCTATATGCTATACCTACCTGAATATTTTGATTTTAAAAGCTCATTTGTCATTAAACACTGCTGTTATGTTATGTAAATATTTTAAAAATAATACAAACCACTTTAAAAATTATAAATATTTCAAGTACCTATAAGTATAGCATTTTAAAACTAATCTAGGTTCCAACGTTATTGAAATATTATATATTATCGTTGTAGTCAAATTATGAGCTATTATTACTAAAANAATGTATTATGTACTTTAATAGGCTTTTGCAAAGACAATTCTCACTTATAGCTGCCCACCACTGTGTCCGCTATCCGACATAGTAGGATTGCCTACCTAGATGACTAAGTTAAACGTGGATCGATTTCCACTGGACGTGACTGACTTGCTAGACATTGAAATAAATCTTTAAGATTTACGATTTTTGACTTTCATAAAAGCACAAGACTGGACCCCGTCCAAGCTTTCAAGTCCAGATATCTGTATTCACCATCAGCGAATATCACAGAGGCCTTCATTACTGACTTAGCGAGTTACACCGAGAGACCAATGCAGGCCCATATCGTCGGCTATGCGACGCAGTCGGTTGGCTTACTTAGATGTCTGAATTTTATTTTAATCGATTTTCACCTTGATGTGACTGACTTGCTAGACACAAATACGGTGCTCCGACTGAACCAACTGGTTCCGCGTTTCAAAAACAAAACTGGATGTATTGAGCCAGTTTAACCGCTGATTTCTAGAGCCTCCAACTCGACATTCAAACGTTCCCGCCTTCGAAACGACACCTTGAAAGCGCTTATCACTTTCTCTGACATTTTCTAGCCTACTTACAAACGCGATTTTTATAGTTTCAACTACTCACCCTCTGCAATCGATACCCACTTTCAGCTAACACGGGGGGTCTGGGGGTCTCCCTCAGCGACGCTCAAAGAGCTAGAATAATAATAAAATGTTAATAAAAAGTTTAATAAATTAATAATATATATTTAATCACTTCCCAGACAGCAAAAAAATGTTGTTTCAATATTGTGTGGACAATTTATTTAAATGATGAAATTTAATGAATATTGTATGCAAGTTGATTGTAAATTTTTTGATATCCATGCAATATGCCCGCAATTTTATTTGGCCACCTTAAATTGTGTATTTAATATTGAATTCACAATCATGCATTGATATTTTGTACCAATATTAAATGATCATTGAAAATAATCTTGGATGAATATTGATTGAATAATGTTTAATATTCACAAATTATTATAATAGCATTGCTTTATCAACATATTCACAATGATTAAAATTAACAATTGACCAAATATTGGATTGATATTACATTTTGTATTCAATATGCATCCAATATTCATTATCATTTTCAAAATATCTACAAACTTTATTATTCAGTGATTATAGTTTATAAAAAGTTTCAATCACTACGAATGTACTAACATTTTTTTTTATGACACACCATTATATAATTTAATATACCTATTAGGTACCACCATATATCAAAACCAGGCAAAATAATATACTCTTCAGATTTACAAAAATGTTCAAAACATGGCTTTCTCTAAAGAATTAAATAATAACAATAAAATATTTAAAATAAACAAATGCTAGTTTTATTATAATAAGAATAAAATAAAATATAAAATAAATTTTTTTTCTGTTCTTAGACACTTTTTTTTTAAACACTTCGTTTACTCGACATCAGCTTCAGTATTTGTTAAGATTGTCGCTTTTTTTCTTTTCACCACAAATGGTCGCTGAGCCAAATACTTTTGAACACAATCTTCTATTTCTTTAAGCTGGATATTCTTAAATTTAGTCTCATTACGGATTGCTTCTATAAAATAATAAAATAATTTAAAAACATTAAAAACAATCATACAAGTATAGCTATAGGTACTACTCCATCTACTTATAAAATTAATTAAAATGTTGTTTATTACAAAATATATTCATCAATAACAGTAGTATGATGTATTTTGAATACCTATATAATATAATTTATGTACTACATATTAATATAACTAGCTATATGGTTAACAGATTTATTTTCATATATTATTATTGTTTACGCTAATATTTAATCACAAATTTATACTTGTCTCAGTTAATATGGTACAAAGTAGGATAATAGTGATGGATAGTTATTGCACCCATGCATCTTTTTATTAAATTTGATGATTTTATTCTTAAATGTGTGTATTATGAAATTATTGATGTTATTTTGAGGTTAACCATCTAATGGTATAATATATAGTGACTCACAATATGCTGTGTTTATAAATAATTTCTCAACATACATAACATACCTACTTAGCGGTATATATTATGATAAAAAATAAGGTACGGTTGTTATATCTTATATATAATATCTTACCAAAAATAGTGGAACAGATACTTAATGAGGAGAAAGATTTTTTATTCCTAATGCCATGAAATGAATATTTGCATAGAAGTTCATCATTAAAAAATTTTTCAAATATCCGTTTAATTGAATGTTTTATGTCATTTCCCATTGACCATCTAATTTCAAGAATCTGAAAAACAAATAAAAATTATAATGCATGAAAAAAATATATTTAATTAAATTTTTTATTATTAAAATAGAATCGTAATACTATGTGTATTTTTTAAACCATCGGATGAAACTATTATAACATTTCTTTTAATTTTAAATTGTTAATATAATTGAATATTGGAGGGGAGAAGTTTGCAAGTTTCTACAGTTCAAATAAAAAACATCACTTACTAATTGAGACCTAAATTCATGGTTTTGTTCATGGTTAATCAATTTTGCTTCCACTACTTCTAATTCATCCTCGGTATTTATAGGTGTTTTAATTAATGGTTGATTTATCAAGGATTGATTTTCATAAGATATCGAAGTTGTTCTATTCACATTGTTTGGTGTATCAATTTTGTGTTCAATTCTGTCAAGTATATCAAACAATAATCTATGGTCGTAACGTAATCCAGCAACTTGTTTTTCAATAGATTCCAATTTATGCTCTAAAAACATTAATTGAAATTGGTTTAAAAATGTATTGTATCTAAATTTAGTGAAGATAATACATATTATACATATTATTATTATAGGTTTAAATTAAAATAAATATTTGAATACATGTGTTAAATTAGACACTATAATACACATACATCATGTTTATGAATTTACCTAATGATTTTATGACACCCATTAATTCATAATTATTAGCATCATCATGTTGTAGACATCTTATTCCATCGATTAGAGAATCTATAAAATTATAGAATACATTTAAAAGTAATATAGTAAAATAATAAATTACAATAAACTCATTATTGTTTGCAATATTAATTTACTTAAAGAATATTCATGCGGGTTTTCAATATTATTACT